AAAAAAAAGAAAAATTAAACATTTGGGAGAAATATCTTCTTCTTCTCATATAATTTCTTATCACTCTCTTTCACTTATCAAATATGCTGATTTCATTTTGGATAACTTTTTTAGTAGTTACATGGCTGCCGAGTATGCTATTAGAGGTTTCTTGTCATTTAAGAATGATGTCTTCAGCTTTGGAGTATTGTTACTAGAAATCATCAGTGGAAGAAGAAATCACGACTTGCAATTTGATCCTAACATGCAAGAGCTCCTAAAGCTTGTAAGCTTATATACAAGCTTAATTATTTTGGCTAGCTCTTGATGAATCAACCTTAATTTCGTAATTGTGACATATGTTATCATTTGTATAATTTCACAGGCATGGAGATTGGAACAGGAAGGGAGGCTGATAGAATTAGTGGATGAGACTATAGGTTTTTTTCCTCAAGAATTGGCACTAAGGTATTTGCGAATTGGGTTGTTATGCACTCAAGAATGCCTAGAAGGCAGACCAAAAATGCCTTATGTTCTACTAATGCTCTCAACAAATTCATCATCAATACCTCCTCTAGGAAGACCTGCATACCTGGGGGATATTGATAATGAGGTACAAATGAACATTGAAAATGAGAGTTTTACACATAATTCCATTTCAATATCGTTACAAGATGGTAGGTAATTATATAATTGGTGCATTTTATATTTATGTACATGTACTTTTAAGTGATACTTTTTGAAATACAATTGTAATGAGTAAAAAATGCTCAAAATACAAGATATATTACAAATGTACTCAGTTGAAAAAAGTAAAAATAAAATGGCTGCATTCACCCAAAAAAAGACAAGATTGTATGGAACTCATGAATTCGTTTCAGTAACTATGGTGCACATTACAGTATTACACCACTTTGCGTGGAAGTGCAAAAATAGCCTGAAAATATTCCCTCCCTTGAAAGAACTTTGTAACAACTATAATTTTGGAGGTGGGCGAAATCAAACCTACCTGTAATAACGAGAGATGTATTTTTCAATCAGTTGGCCTGAAAGGCGAAGTGCCACAATATACAACATTTTTTACGCCGAGATCCAATGTGAAAGATCTCCTGACAATTAGAGCTGTTTGCAAAGAATTCACAGGTTGTAAGAATATATTCAACTTACCTACCAAATCCATATGCAGCTTTATTGTGTCTAGGTCCAAATCAGAATGCATGCCAGCCAAGAGAATGACAAAAACGCTAGTGGGTTATCCTCTCAGTATGATGCTTCCATTTTAAACGTCTGTTCACATGGCAAGTGGCCAGAGATGAAAAAGAAACACAAAAAGGATAGATTAATTTTTTAAAAAAAATAAGGAAAAAAAAAAGGGTTGGATTGGACCATCCAACTACCCTTCTGATAATGTGGTTGGGCTGATCAAATCATTGAAGATATTAAAATTATATAAACAGGTTTTAGATTAAATGACTGAATAAGAGGAAGATAGCAACCACTAAATTATTATGATTTGATTGGAACAGGCTTATTTCTTGGTCTAATTTATATCCAAATTGTGATTTTCAGAAGAAGATATATGAAGCAAATTTCGCATGCCGACTTCAGCTTACTGTTTTCTCCTTTGTTAGGTTGCATATATAATATAATATTCCATGCAGAAGGAAGCAGTTCGGTCAACTGGGGGAATTTAGCTTACCCTTCTGAGATGCCATGGTGTACCCTGTTTCATATGCTACCCAGGGCCAACCAAAAGTCAAGTAGCTCTGTATCGCTTGACTTTCGTGAGCAATTGGGGTTATATTTAACATGGTGTAATGAGGCAATAATTTTTTTTTAAAAAATTTAAGTACGAAATATCTTATTTTTTCACTAATTGATATCTACTTAATATTAAACATATCACAATTTTTTTATTACAAGTCAAATTGTTACCATTGACTTGCTATATTTTTTTTTTATGGAATTGACTAGTTATATAGATTTATGTTATTGGAAATAAATATATTTTAATTTTTTTAATTTTGAATTACATAATATAATATGATAATTTTTTTATTTTTTAACATATTGTATCCATATACTATACAATTCAACCAACTACTTGTTGGTCTGAATGGGAGAGGTTCAGTTCCCCTAAATAAGGTGTCGATTTCAAATTTTGTGAATGAGAAAATAGATGCTGAGATAATTTTTCTCTTTGACACAGTTCAATTTTAAATTAATTGAGATTTAATGTAATTATTAGATATTAAAAAATTAATAAAAAAAATACTATACAATTCAACATCTTTTACTTTTTCACTAAAAACATAGATTACTATCTATCTTGTTTGTTGGTGCTTTAAGATTATTATTATGCCTGCCTGTTTCATGACAGCAGCAGATTTATGCTCCTCTGGTGCATAATAAACTCGGTCTGTTTATTTTCCACGCTGAAGGGCTAATCACACTTCAATAATCAATCTCCACCAAAATCAAAATCACCTTTTGTTTGGCTTTTTGGTTCTTACGTCCTTATCTCTTCAAAACTTTTCCTCGACAACCCACATTACAGACCACTTCTGCTTTTTCTTCTCATTATTTTTCATCCCTCTTTTCACCCTATAAATCTCAATCTCATTTATTATTTTATTTGAATGTTTCGTGTTATTCTATGATTTTTCCTTTAAAAAGTTCTCCAGAAATGGCCTTAGAACTCTGTTCAGAAAACTCTGGTTTGAGTCCCAGAATTTCATTTTCTCATGATCTTTGTCTCTCTGATATTGTTCCTGTGGAGCAACGTCCTCCCAGGTCAAAATCCTCTAGTTTGAGTTCAAGTGTTGAT